GCCCTAGAAAAGAAATATCAAATAATTAGAAGTAATATTCCAAGCATCTTCTATTGTATCCCCCAAATCTGATGAGTTACATAAGCCATACATTCTTTTTTCTATTTCTAGAAGAAATGTGCGTTTTCAAATGCCTAGCACACAGAAGAGCCTGCCTGAATGCAGTATTGAGGAAACAGGTTATTTTTAAAACCTCTTTTTTTTGCTCCTCTAACAGTAGCAATACAGCAGAAGCTCATTAGAATGGCCTTGTATTTATTTCACATAATTTACTTAAATTACAATATATTAAAATCTGGCTTTGCCGCCACCAATAGCGAATCTCTTCATACTTCACCCAAATTTCATTTTACAGAGATGAGCAAGCTAATACAAAAGAAATCTTAGCATTGGATCAAATATTAGAGAAATAAAAGTATTTTGGTTTGCTATGATACAGAGTGACAGTATTAGCAGTAGCACAATGTTTGTACAAACAGGCAATGGAAAAGAAATAACTCCAACTCTTCAGACTGCTGTTAACACTTCTGTCAAATCAACAACTACAAACCTATCCATCTTACTGTTACATAATGCCTAAACCTCTGAGTTTCATATTTACAATGAGCTTGTAAAAGAATTCAAGTTTTTGTCTTTGCTCTGGCTCAATTAAGCTGCATTATTAGCAAGGCAAGATATTCCATGATGCAAAACAAAACCACATTAAGAAACAATGTGTTAAGACTTAAATAATTCAACAAGCATTTAAATTTTAACCACAGTCACTACATGACTAACACCATTCAGTCTTTTTGTACCAGTGAAGCATACTAAAAGCGCTACCAGTATTACTATGATCAAAACAATTCCGTATTAAAAAGATGCTGCATTCTTTTTCTTTCATTGGTTTCCTGCTTTATTACAACTTTATTCGAATGAGCAACAATTCCTATCAAATGAATACAAATGTCACCAAAAGGTATCACATTGTTGTCTTCCGTTAGCTAGGTAGTATTTCAGTTTAATTACAAAAAGCCTACTTTCTATACAAAATAAAAGTATTGTATTGTGATTGTTACTCCACTAAAGTGTTACTACCTATACAAAAAATACAATACATGACTAGATTCCAAATAATTGACTTAAAATTTATCCTAACAGGCTAAGCATTGAACAAGCAAACTTACTTCCTTAAATTCTGCCTTTAGGACAGCATGCCCTAGAGTAGTCTGCCACTGAAGCTTTCGCCCACTGTGTTTTCCCAGGTAGAAGGCTTTAAATACCTCCTGAAGCTTTATCATCTGTAAAGCAAAGAGAGAAAAATGTTTATTAGCATTATACCAGAGCAGTGATGCTGGATTATTTCACACACATAATTTCTTTATTCTCCTCAACAATGTTTCATAGTAAGTGTTTTTGTGTGAAAAACTAGATCCAAAGAGCAAAATTCGGCTCTCAAGTACACTCGTACTATTATGGACAAAAGAAAGCCTGAATTAAAAAATAGCTTTTAATTTCGCTTCCTCTCTCTCAATTTAAAATTGACATTTTAAATGCAGGGGCTAGTTTTGTGTGACCCATTGCAGGGAACAGAGGAAGGATCTTACAGGGAAAAAAGAAGTGCAGTAACATAACCATTGGCTAGATCAAAATGCCTAACCAATGTAGTTAAAGATTGACTAAATTAAGGTGAACCGTCAAGTTTTAAACTTTTAAGTGCTTGACTGCAATGTTACTTAGGACACTGATTTGATTTTACTACTAATTTTATATTATTATTATTAAAAAGGTACAAAAACACATTAAGTAAAACAATCATCAAAAAAGAAGTGGATTTTATGTACTACATTTTATTTTTTGCAATCTTGGAATCTTTAAAATGAGATAAGCCCCTTAAATATCCATCAGAAAACCATTAAATGAAGGGCATTAGTTCAGTCTGTGACGGTGATTATGATTCCACTCTGTAAAGTGCATTTAGAAGAAGAATGCAAACACTAACCTCTGAATTTAAGTGGACTTCCATAGGCGTATAAGTTGGCCAATATCCCATAGTTAATATATTTACTGTCAGGTCTATGTTTGCTGGGTCACTTTGGTTCTGCATATACTAAAATACAAGAAGCAAAAATAATTCAAGCACACTGTCTGCATGCTAAAGTAGAAAATATATATACTTACATTAGAAATTTAAAATTAGTATAACAATGAAAAAATTTCACAGGCCACATCCTTGGTTAGACATGTTCTACCAGGATTTTGAATGACTACTTAACACTCCCCTCCCCAATTTCAAAACACAGCAAGTCAATGGAAATAAAAAGAAAAGAACAACATGCCTTGAAGTATCCTAGACCACTGTCTTTACAGGTCAAAAGACCTTCAATCACATGCAAATAAAGCAAAAGAAAAGCTTTCGATCAGAAGTCAGGGCAAGAACTATAAGATCAAAAGGATCCCCTTGGACTTCCACATCTGTTAGATAAAACATTTTCATATAATTTGAGCACAGCATCGGTCAAGCCAGACTGCAAAGTCTGCAACAGAAAAGTTGCTGCAGTATTTTACTATAGGGGCAGGTGTCCTGGGTCAGATTTCTACCCCAGTATCCCTTCTTCAGTACGGCCCCAAAACGGGTACCCAGGGAGCAGTGCAACAACGGGGTGAGCATATACGGTATTTCCTCCAAAGCACTCCCTCGGTCACCAGCAGGGTGGAAGCTCTGGGGCTGAGACATACCCAGTTTCTGTGCACTTAGCAACCTGCAGGGAGTTTCTCTGGTATGGATCATTTACAAAGAATTCATCAGAGCAGCAACAGTTTACAGAATGAAGGGGTAGGGACTTTAACAGATGCCAGACAACTAAATTACTGTGTGGTATATAGACTGTAATTTACTTCAAAAGGAATCTGATAAAACTGTAAAATAAGATTATCTCTGAATAAATATACAATAAATAAATTCTGTTCTATAAACAGAACAATAAGTAGATGCTGTTACTATGACCAGGACCTGCTCCAAAGCTGTTTTGGTTAATTTTAGCTTAATCCAACGTATAACACCATTAAGTGCTTCCCCATCACTACTAACAATTTAGTACACAAACAAAAGCTAAATGTACCTGCTTAAACTGAACCATGACATCTTTTGACAGTTCCATGTCCTTGAACATGCCCTCCAGTTTACTCGTAAAAGCAGCGCCACATTCTGTCACACAAATTAAAGCAAAGGTCCCACAATTACAAGGAAGCACAGAACAAGCAATGAAGGTTTAACCTGAGACAGCTGAGCTGATTTGTCAGGTTACAGAGCACCCGCAAACACGTACATGTTTTAAGGACTTTGCCCCTCTGTAGCTACATTAAACGAACCAGTCACATATCTAAGAGGTCAGCCCAGCAGTTCTCGCTGAGCGCAATGAAAGCTGTGATATGCTCAGCTGTTACTTAAAATCTGGCTTGTCACTTCTCAAAGCATGAGAAAATAAGGATTCCAATTCACATGCCAAAAAGTAATAAAGATCTAACATCTGGATATGCCTACCATGCTTAAGCTTCGACAACATGGATTTCTCAGCATCTACTGATGCACTTTTTCCAACCAGCAGTCTTTTGGCCAAGTCTTTCTTATAAAATGCCTCAAACACATCTTTACCTGTATGGAAATTGAAACAAAAATAAAATACAACCGAAATCATATATGCAATTTGCATTACTACACTTCAGGTTTGTGACACAAGCCTTTCGCATGACATGTTGATCAGCAGAAC